TATTATATTTTCAAATAAAAAGGGGCTATTAAATAAAAATACTATTATTTTAAAGTAAACTAAAAAAAATTAAATGCTACTATTTACTTTTTTCATCATTTTCAAACTTTAAATCAGCAAGCTTTTATTTTGGCGGGTTGCCGTTTAGCAAGTAAGTATATGCGCTGCTGGGTTTAGCGCTTCCGATTGAAGAGCGTCAGTGAATAAAATGTCATAGTTTTGCATTGTGTTTTGAAAACGGCAGCGGATAGCCTAGATTTATGCTCTCAGTTCGAATAGAAATCTTAGTATTACAGTTTGTCAATCTAAAATTGTAATTGTGCATTAACAGCTGTCAACCATGTCGGTACGCAAATTTTTATTTTGCACCTGCGTACCACTTATGTGCACCCCTGGTGATATCACTCTTGCAATCCTGCTGTTGCTCTGAATATACCATGGCTGGGATTACTTGTGGCCAGGGCTGCAGAAAAAGGGGGGACTGTTTGTACCGGGCCCGGAGCATTGGGGGGACTGGACTGTATCGTGGAGGGGGGCCCAGAAAATCAAACGTGATTTCAACCGATGGGGACTCCCCTGGGAAGCCACTGTGCCGGGGGGAGCGCGATAAAGGATTTGTACCGAGCTTATTAGGCTCTACTTGTGGCCTCGTGCCTATTAGCCAATCGCATATGTGCTCTCAACAATCGTGAAGAGAGCATGCACTCCTAGCGGCTCCAAACGGGACTGCCATCTTGTAGTTTGAGCACCCAGATTTAAGATTCCAGCTCCTCTGTCTCCCAAATCTCCCCTGCCTCCATTGGTCCTCTCAAAGCTCCCCTCCCCTGCTCTCTGTATTGATGGAGATAATTAGCTACTGCTGAATGGAATTCCAGATTCCCAGATTCCCATGGATGTCAGTCTAGCCGCTGGCCTCCGCACCGCATCCCCCCACCATCCCCTATCCCGCCTCCCTCGCCGCGAATGAGAAAGAAACAAAGCATGGGATGAGTTTAATATTCAACATATCTCTTCTGGCAGGTTTTTGCTGCTTAGCTTTGAGGAATGATCTAATAAATGATCAGGCATCTACGCAAGTCAGCAATAATGAAGCATGTCATCTATACGTTCCCTCAGTTGGTCATTATTCCAAAGTAAACCCAGACGGGGCTACTGCATACGGTCGGTCGTTATCCTAACGTGATCAAAAAATATATTGAACAGTGGTTTCACGTCATAGCTGCTCCTAATCCCAGGTATTTTAGCCAGACCGGAAAGTTCAGCGCTCCAGACCGCATCTGTTTCACGAAGAAATTATATTTGACATCCACAGCGACAAAGCAAGAGATTTCTATTAAAGGTCAGCAGATTGAGGCAGTGCTTCAGAAAGTTTTCTCATGCTCACAGAGAGAGCGATCCAGCTCAGCGGTGTGGTTCATATTCCCGTACACCCACACACCCTCCAGCAGCCAGCAGTAACCCATACATGTGCGGCCCATCCAAACTGGCAGGCCTCCGGCCGCAGCGGCCCAGCCCAACCAAACGCCCAGAGCCACACAGCCACATGGAGATCAACTCTCTCCTGACAAGCGGGAAGTCTTGGCTAACGTCTGCAATGAGTCCACTTAATAAGCCTATTGAAAGGAATAAATCACTGGAGCACACACATGTGAAAAGAGCACTGGCTGAACATCCGTCACAGTGGCACCGAGAGATGTGTCCAAGGTGTCCTGCGTCCTCGGTTCAGGTATCGGATGAAAGACGGCGAAGTGGGAATGAACGGTGGAATGTCTTCAACAGTCTGTCTCTGTGAGGTCACAGGAATATTGTACAGTCATGAAATAAAGCTTCGACGCTCGCTGGGACCGCGCCAGTGGCTGAGGAGTAATTGTGGACTTTTTTCTGTTCTGCTGTCATTCTTTGGGAGGCAGGAGCGCTTTGAGGAAATGGTTTGGATGGAGCTTAAAGCATGCTGTGCGCGCATTCACATGCAGCGGGGTTTGGCACCGGGCCCTGTTTAAGCTTCAGCCTCAAATTATTCTCATTAATGGCTCCTCCAAGGGGAAATGGCCATTTGTCTGTGTGTGATACTTGTACCTACGAGGCTGTTGGGGTTTTGGAGCTCCACCAATGAGAAAAATACATTTCATTGCCCGAGGTCAGAGGTCCCCAGTTGGAAAACCCACGGATAAGTTTTGGCCAACAGAGCCTCCGAAGGCCTGGAAGGCTATTGCGGAAGAAAAAAAAGGGAATTTAGACATTGACGTCACTTGCTTCTGACAGCGAGACAAGCAGCTCAAAATCAAGGTCTCCTTACGCAACCGGTGTAAAGTGATTAACCAGCAGCCTTTATCACAACGAATCAGATCCAACTGCTCCCTCATGTCTCTTCAAACCCGTCGAACAGACTGAAACTCAAGTCGTTATCCATTAAAACGCTCAAATCTCGTTCTCTGTAACAGATCATAACACATGTGAAAACCGATAATGTTTGCCATCTATTTGAACTGAAAGTAGGCAAAGCTTCAGAAGTCCTACGGACTACTTTTGTGTTACTTTAACGGCACTTTAAAGAAGTTATTTTTGCCGATTGGCAGCTGTGGTCACCCGTCTACAGTGGCTGTACAGAAACAAGCGAAAGCGAGTCACACTGACGGGGTGAGTACATGATGACAGCTCTTTCATATTTGGACGAGCTATTCCTTGAAATGGCAGGACAGAAAAAAAGATCTTGCTGAAAAGGGAGCCGCGGCTGAGTGAGGGCTGGAGATTTACGGGTGTGACTTAGGGGTCATGCGATTGGACGGAGTCATGAGGAAACAAAGAAACACAGGGAGGTGGTGCTGAAGGACTGAGAAAATCCCCTTTGGCACAAGCTTCTGTAATTAATTCAGGAAAAATTCATCACAGCAGGCTTCTCGCAAAACACACAGCTCCTTTAATCACTTCATATCCTCCAAGAGACAAGCACCAACCCCCTCGTCCACTTCCATGTATTTATTCGCCTCCTCAGAAGTAGCATGCTACATCTGCACGGCCGACTAGGAAGTGAGGCACTGTACAAACATGTTGATGTAGCAGCGGGGGGTGTAGAGTGTCGGATGCGCCCTCACTCACTGTTTCCCAGGACTGTTTACCACAAAACGCCGCCATCTCTGCCCGCACTCATTAACACCAGCCAAACAGGCCGATGCCAAATCCTGCCCACCGTAACCCTGACGATCCAGCAT